CTGAGCCGTGCCGGCGCAGTGGCGGAGCCCCCAAGAACCCCCCCTTTCCTCTCGCCTCTCTTTGGGTGAGTCCTGGGCAGGGTTGTTAGCCTCCCGCCGCCCCGCTGGACCTAGTCGCGCCGGCGAGGTGCGAGGCCGCCTCCTGGAGGGCTTTCGGGGCGACCTCCCAACGAAACCATCAGCCCCCGAGCTCTGAGCGCCGGGCTGCAGCGGGGCTGGAGACCAGCAGCGGTTTGAACGAAGTGTCGGTCTGTCAAAATGCTATCAGTGGTTTGCAGCTGGGTCCCAGGCAATGCTTTCGGCGGCAAACAAAGGAAGCCGCCAGCTCTTGTCTTCAGTGACCCAGGCTTTTTTTGTTGTTAAAACGACAAAACAGCAATGTATATTCTATTAAAAAAAAAAAAAAGTCTGGTTTTATTCTATAATTGCTTATGCCAGTGTTTAACTGGAAGGTGATTCAGATTAGATCTGAATAACGACTCAGACAAGACTGGTTTTGTGTTGCTGTTCTGTGTTGTATCAACACACCATAAAAAAGCAGAGTGTGTCTTTGACAGCAGCAAGTGCGCTGGATGGACGGGACAGCGCAAAGTAATTGCGCTCCTGGACTGTAGCAGAAATGTAGTTTGATGCAAGCGCACTAATTGTCTGGTTATTGTGTTTGGGTATGTGAAAAGCCTTTTTTTTTTAGTAGTAGAATTTAGGCCTCATCTTAACTTCAGCAAGAAGGATCTTGCATCACCGCTTCTTGGGCTCCTTGGAAATGGTGGCTTGTGTGGTTAATGATACTTTTTCTTTTTCCTCTTTTCTCCTCTTCCCACACCCTCCTCCCTCCCCATTTTCACAAGGACAAGTAACATTCTCTTGGTTGGTGCTTATCTTTGCAGGGAAGCTAGTGACTACTTTCAATATTTCACCACTTCCTGAGTCTGCTTCTTTATAATGTTTCCTTTGCTTCAGGAAGCCATTGTATGTACTCCATGCATGAGCTGCTTCTCCTGTACGGCTTTTGTGCATAAACATAATAGCCAGGGATCAATGAGTAGTTTCTCACTCTGATTGGGAAGAAATTGGGGAAAAAATTATATATTTAGTATAAAAATTATCTTGCCTGTGGCTGGAGTCGTGATCTTTAAGAGCAGCAGTAAGAGCTTTCAGTAGTAATTTGCAGTTGCAAGTGACCACGCATGTTTGATTTTAAACACTGCTTGCTGTGAGACCAGTAAGTTCTGAAAACTCTGCGACTAGTAAGTCTCTGTGTTTCAAAAACTTGTGTGAGCTGGTTTGGGGAGTTTGGAGTTTTTTTGTTTGGGGAGTTTTTGTGTTGTTTTGTGTTGTTTCAGATTTATTTTCTTTAGTTCATGTGAAAATGAAAGAGCACTTGTTTGTGGGCTATTGGATACTGTTTGTTCAGCAGTAAAGTACTTTGTTGCCAGAACTTTTTTTATGTAGTTCTTAGATATTTCAGGAGGTTTCTCAGTGAACACATCTCTGGTGTGGTAGAGGTGGACCAAAACAAATGTGGTTGACCTTCTGGTTGCTTTGTGCATGGAATCACCCTGAAAGGTATACTGGGGGTGAGGGGGGCTAAATGAAGGATCGCAGTACGTAGGATGGGTTTTTTTCCTAGGAAGTGTTTCAGCTGACTCTTATTAGCAATGCATTTGAGAAGGATGGGCCAAGCAGCATTAAGATCCTGAGGGAGTCACATATCAGTTTCCTTTCCTTCCCCACCCCCACCCCCCCCGATAGAATTTTCCTAGTGTATGTCCAGGCCCGCAAAGTTAAGATCTGAATGTCTGATGTTAAAAATGTATAGGTGAGATCAATGTTGCCTCCTTCCTCCCAACAGATGTATTCCCCACGTACTCTAAGGCATCAGGGAAGATGATAGTTCCTTTTGCATGGCCTTAGTACATATCCTTCTATTCAAGATATTGAACTTCAGCAGATATGTTCAATAGCTGCAATACTCTGCAGTGCTGTGTTGGGATTTGATTACCAGCATATAGATCTTGAGATGCATTTCCACCAAGAGGAACAGTAGATATGTGTACCTGATCAAATTCTGTTCTCAGTAATTGCCAGTCCTCTTTTACTATTGGATGCTCATAACATTCAGTCTGCTGGTCAAGTGAAATAAACTTACTTCATAATCAATTTAGTTCGTGCTAAGTAATCAATTTTACCTCATGCTACATCCTTGCGTATGTTTAAGCAGTGCTGTTTATTCTTCTGTTTCAACAAAGCCCAAACTGCTGTATAATTAAATGTAATAATTTCTTTATTCTTACATATACAGGCAGCTGAAGAAGTTAGATGAAGACAGTTTAACCAAGCAACCTGAAGAAGTATTTGATGTATTGGAGAAGCTTGGAGAAGGGTATGTGTTCTATTCCAATGTGCCCAATGTACGTTTCTCTAAGAACAAATCTGTGTAATGGGTATGTGTTCAGTGGTCTCTGATTTTTCACTTTTGTCATGATCCTATTACTGCAAGGTATGTACTAGCGTAGTGACAGTGTTTGGTTAGGAACAGAATAAATAATTTGTTTCTCTAGAGTAAGATACCTTAATCCAAACAGTAGTTTACGGCTCAGCAGTAGAGAGTTAAAACATTGTTGAAAAATACCAATCTGGAGCTGATAGGGCTCTGTAGGAACTCAAGAGGTTTTGTAGATCATCCCTGGTACCTCCTGTGGAAGATCTTCCTGGTGGAAACGAACTTCTGTTGCATTGTGCCTCTTGGTAAGGCAGACCAGCATGGGAACGCTCTGTGAGTGACATGTTTGCTTTCTTAAGCAGTTAATTTGAAAAACACGATTTGTAAATCTACCTGGCCGCTGTAAGTAAAGAAGCTGGAAATAAGACAGATAATATCTGACAACAACGAGCAAACCTCTCTGACCAGAGCTGTAGTTCTTACTGATGCTCAGCTGGTACTGTATGCTGGAAAAGTGAAAATGGTATTTGTTGGATTATTGTAAAAGGCCACTCCAAAGCCTCAGGCAGTTTTAATGATGGTTGACTCTTTTCTGACCTTCTCAGTGTGCTGTGACTTATTTGTATTATTACAGTGTTTAGAAGCTAGTGGGCTGATTATTACATTAAAATACAAAATATTTTTAGCAGAAGGATAATTAATTTTTTATCTGATGGCTGCACTTGCAAAAAGCAAAACTATAACATTTGCATTTTTTAAATGTTGCATTCAGTATTTGTTTAATATTTTGTTTCATAGTTCCTATGGCAGTGTGTTCAAAGCCATTCATAAAGAAACGGGTCAAATTGTTGCAATTAAACAAGTTCCTGTGGAATCTGACCTGCAAGAGATTATAAAGGAAATATCCATAATGCAGCAATGCGACAGGTAAATGTATACTGCAAACCCCATTATCGGTATGCAAAGAAACGTATTGTCTATGATCTGGCATTTAATCAAATAAAAGCCATGATGTTGCCTTAAATGTTTTTTAAAAGGCTGGACTTGTACGATCAAGTTACCTCGTATCAACTGAGTCATGTTAACTGACCATTTGGGTAGTGTTAATCCAAGCAAAGGTAAGACAACAAAAATTTAGCTTGCAACAAAGAGAGCATTAAGCTAAGTTGAATAACCTTGCACTTGCTGCCAGCAAAGAGCCAAGCGTGTGAGCAGTTACTGCGGTTCTCCCGATGCGCCGTCGCTTGTTGAACAGTGGTAACTTGATTGCGTGCTAGAACAGCAGTTCCCATGTCCAGAGGGGTAATGACCTCTAAACAAGTTTTGGTATGGATGTAGAAAACTGTTAGAAGAGGGTTTTTTTGTTTGTCTTTAAGGGGCATGTGGATGAGAGCCACTAATGCATGACTGCTCTTGCATGTGCGTAATCTACATGCTGTCATCTGCTTGGATGGCAGAATTGTCCTTCCTGGCCATTTGCTGCCTGTGCAGGTTCTAGTGTGGTACAAGCTGTCTGCTGATCTGAGCATCCCCAGAATAGCTTGCTGGCAGCTCTGTAGGCTGATGGCTGGCTCTCTGGGTTGTCTCTGCATGTTTCTTAAGGGAAAAGATGTTGTACTAACTTAGCTAATGAAGAGCTCATGGGTGCAGAAGACCTGCTCTCAAAGTGTGTCCTAGGCTGAAAGTTTAAAATACACTAATGTCTTCTGGTGTTATGAATCTAGCCTTAAGAAACACTACTTTGATGGACTTCAGGCGTGGAAAACCATTTAAAATATGCTACATCAGCAATATAAAACTGGTCCCGGTCACTTACTCTGTTGCACTTCACTCACTGTCTTTAAATGAAGGTAACTGGTGGCAGACAACAAACTACAGCTTTAGAACAATTTGTTCATGAAAAGTCTTACTGTGTAACTTGGAAAGCATTACTAGGTGTCTCTTTCTTAAAAGAAATTAACTATTAACACTGTAAGGCTTAAAATGTCACCTCACAGTTATGAACAGCAGAGGGAGTGAATCACTGGAGCATCACGTTTTCTGTGCAAGCATTAAGGGACACGGTGCCCTGTGACTGACTTGCTAGTTTTACAGTTTTTCATTAGAAAATATTCAGCAGAGAATAGATTAAGTGCACTTTTGTTCCTTAGCTCCATTCCCACAAAATTAGGAACAGTCTGTCTGTGTGTTTTCTGCTTTACCTTTGCTGGAGTACAGATGGTTATTCTGACCAATATCCTAGGTTGCTTGCTTTTTGGGCAGCCAGATAGCTGACTGTGAGAGACAGTCTTTGGTTATACTGGATTCCTAACATATATCCTGGACTAAATTGTACAAAGAAGTAGGTGGTAGTGGAGGAACATTCCTCTTAATGAATATGATAGCTATTTTCCAGGAAACTTTGGACCTTATTTAACACGTCCATTTGGTTGCAAATGCTCTGCAGCAACTTTACCAAGGACTGCCATGGTCTATTTCTCATTCCCTTGTCCTGCCTTCTTGCTTGCCACAGCACTGACCTTGTTGTAATCCGGTTCAGGGAGCTAAACCAGATTGAAGGCTAATTGCTCCTTCTTTCGATAGGATTTATTTTCAGACAGTTTAGCTCTCTGAACTGACTTACTGGCAGGTCAGGTGAGCACTGCTGTGGGGAAGAGGCTTGGCAGGACTGCAGTAGCCCTGTGCAAGTTCAGCTTGTTTTGGAATACTTTTGATCAGAGTTTCAGTGGCACTTCATCTCTGAATACTTAGGGACTCTGCAGTGTATTTTGGTTATTCAGTGATGTTGGTTACTCGTATTTGACCCTTTGTTTTCTTCTCCCTTTTTCATATTTCATAGTCCTCATGTGGTGAAATATTATGGCAGCTATTTTAAGAATACAGACCTGTGGATAGTCATGGAATACTGCGGCGCTGGATCTGTGTCTGATATTATTCGATTACGAAATAAAACTGTACGTCCTTTCTCCTTTGAATGTATGAATGGGAAATATGGGTGTCCAGCAGCTCCAGGAAGCAGAGTAGTGTGTGCACTGGCATTTAGGCATAATTCTCACGGTGTTTGATGCCTGACAGCCATTGGCCATAACTTGAATGCAGGTGCTTTGTTCCTCGGAAAATGGGAAAGCTGATTGCACTGATGGACTTTTGTAATTGGTGAAGCAGTTTTTGGTTTGTTGGCTTTCCTGAAAACCCAAACCAATTCTGAGTAACAGACTCTATTTTGCCTTACTTTGATTATTGCAGCGTAAGAATTACTGCTTGAGAAAGGGTTATGTTATGCGAAATACAGTATGCGTGTATATGTATACTGGTTGTAATCTAATTCTACTACATAATGCTGTAAGTCGCTAACTAATTTCCCATTAGTATGGCAACCTTTAGCAAAGGCAATTAAATGACAATTAGTTAATCTCAGGAAAACATAGACTGAAACACAATAGTATTATGTCTCGGCAATTGGTAAGTTGGCAGTAACTCTTCTTTTTCTTTAGCTCACAGAGGAGGAAATTGCTACAATAGTGCAATCAACACTGAAAGGACTAGAGTACCTGCATTTTATGAGGAAAATACACAGGGACATCAAAGCTGGAAATATATTGCTAAATACAGAGGGACATGCTAAACTTGCAGATTTTGGAGTGGCGGGTCAACTTACAGTAAGTAAACCCAAGATGGTTGTGCACACTTCAGTTTATCTTTTTAACCTGCATGTGAGTATGACATGCTTGTGAAGACCTTGGGAAATTGTTCTGAACTGTTTTTTAGCACTTTACATCAACATAATGACATGCTAAACCAGCAAGAGATTAGAGCAGAGCTTCCTCTGTGGAAGCTGCTATACCTAAGCAATGGTTTGCAATAGCATTTGCTGTTTCTTCAGGATAGTTGTAACTTCTGTCGGCACATTTCAATTCCTCTTTGCAGCCCTCCGTATCCCAGTCTTGCGGAGTCTAATAATGTGCGTGCATGCAAGTGGAAGATAATTAGGGTGATAATTTGTTAATGAATGTTTGTGGCTAATACAATTGCCATTATCTGGATCTTTATTGTGCTCTCTTCTCAGGACACCATGGCAAAGCGGAACACAGTTATAGGGACCCCGTTTTGGATGGCTCCAGAAGTGATTCAAGAAATTGGATATAATTGTGTTGCAGACATCTGGTCGCTGGGAATCACTGCAATAGAAATGGCTGAAGGCAAGCCACCATATGCAGATATTCATCCTATGAGGGTAAGGACTGTGGCCTTTTCAAATGTATTGCTGCGTGGAAAGGATATGTGGAAAGGATTTGCCATTATAGTTGGCTGAATAACATATCAACATGCCACCTTGCTTTTAATTTAGCGTAAATGATATGTTTTCTGTCAGTCTGTCAGTTCTTTGTACTGTTGATTAAATGAAAAACAGGTCTTTGAGAATGAGAATCTGCATGGGAAGGACAATCACGACCCTCTTCTGTTATGAGGTAGCTGAAGCTCCCTATCTTGGGTGTGAAGAAATATATTTTCAGCTGTATTATCCAAAATGAAATTTTTTGCATGCAAGCACAAATCTTTAAGACTTAAAAATGGCAGATGGACACCTTTTGGGGCATATAATGGCTCACAGAAGTGTAAGCACCTGGTGAGAAAAGTCTGATTTCTTGCTACGTGATCCCTCTGAGGAAATTTGTGTGTAATAATCGGTACAAACTCTTCAGTAGCAGCAAACTTGAAATGTCTATCATTCTTTGGTACCAGTATATGTTTGTGTGTATTTATGTTGTATTGTTGGAAAGATTTAAACTTTGGAAATCTGGAATATTCTTCTGTTTTCAGGCAATTTTCATGATTCCTACCAATCCACCTCCAACATTCCGGAAACCAGAGCTCTGGTCAGACAATTTTACAGACTTTGTAAAACAGTGTCTTGTTAAGAGCCCGGAGCAGCGTGCCACTGCAACACAACTGCTGCAGGTCTGCCTTTTCTTGCAAGAACATAAGCTCTAGAGAAGGCTTTCTAGGGTAGGCAGTGCTGCATATCTGAGATGTTGGTTTCATTCCTTACTGCTTCTGCTCACTACAGATTTTACTTTTTAGTACCTGATTTTTAAAATCTTACACTCAACTTCAGCTTTTCAGTTCTTCTCTAAGAATCAGTTTGACTTCAACTTCCTATCTTTGTCTTATCTGGGTTGGTTTTTTGTTTGTTTGGCTTTTGGAGTTTGTTTTTTTTTACTTCCAAATTCTCACCAGGACTGCCAAGAAACTGCTTCTTAAAACACTAAATAGGAGAGGCTAAATGAAAGTGATTGCTCAGAGTGGTCTAGGCATGGTGATGATCTGTGTAATTGGTTCTTGACAGCTAAGCTGCTAAGGAAAGAAAGAGAGAGAGTTGTGGGTGGGGAATGAGCCCAAGGTCTCACAGCAGTAGTGCCTTTGGAGCATGATCTTGTTTGGAGGGTAGGAGGTCTCCCTCCTGTGCCAAACAGAAGTATTGGATTTTTATTTTTGGAATGTATTGAGTTAAACCTTAATTTAGATTGGAAGTAGGCCATAGTAACAGTGTTTTACTGTTATATCTTGGTTCGGATGCAGTACTTACTTGTTTTTAAAATACTTCTCAGCATCCATTTGTTAAAAGTGCCAAAGGAGTGTCAATTCTGCGCGACTTGATTAATGAAGCAATGGATATCAAGCTGAAACGTCAAGAGGCGCAACAGCGTGAATTAGATCAAGATGATGAAGAAAATTCAGTGAGTATTTAATAGCAACAGTGTACGAAGTCCAAACTCTTGCTCCTTTCATAAGGCTTAGCTGTTTGGTTTTTGGTTTTGCGATATTTTGTCTAATTGCTTATGGATTTGACTTAGTTCTTGAGTTTTCTACTTTATGACTGCTTAACCTGATACTTGGTCCCTGCTCAGTCTTTGTATTTGAGTGGGATAACCAGCATGTATGGCTCACTGTTTACCTTAGAGTATAGTTAGAGACCTCTGATTGAAAAGGTCTACAAAGTAGTGTATGCAGAAGACTTGATACATTTTCCCAGTTGTTTATATTATTTATAAAGTAATGAAAATTTTTCATTGTAGATTCAGGTCTTAGAATGCTCTGCTGGTATAAAATAATAATATCATCTGTGATGCACTACAATATAAGTATGTTATGTTGTTTTACTATTGTTGTGCTTTAGAATCCCCCTTATAGAAACTTTCTACTACACAAGAGCAACCGACAGAAACCCGAGGTGAGGGCATGACGAGTGTTCAGAGGATTGCTGTGAATTTAAGTTCGGGCTCCTTGTTTCAGTGGTTACAGCATGTGAATATAGAAAGCATGTTGAAAGCTGTTTTTTGAGCCTCTGCCTGCTTCAACCTGAATAAATGAAATGGGCAACAAAAGGCATTGTATGCCAGTCCCTTTCAGAGGCTAGACTTGTATAGCATGGTCCACAGTATCTATGCTGAAGGCACTGTTCATCTAGTTTTCCAGTTTAGGACTGCCTGTTTATTCAGTGTGGAATTAACTTTATTGGTCATGTTGCCATGATGTTGACTCTAAGAGTATTGTCCTTACCATCTCTCCTTCATTTCTGACTGATCTGGAGTGACGTTGCTGAGAGATGGTGTCATGTAGTGGAGCTGAGTGGTTTCCGTTGGTGTGTGTGTTTTCCTGAAGCTTCTCTACTCCCTGTCTGCTAGCTGAAAAGTGTTCTCAGGCACTTCCCAAGTGCTGTGGAAATTTCTGCTGTAGTCCTTTGTTAAATGATGTGTAGCTAACAAATTTATTACTTTCTCTCACCCACTCATCTCCACATAAAATTACTTTTCCTCCATTAACATCTCTTGTAGTTTTCTCCTCCTCTTGCTACTGGTTTTGAGGTTGGGAAGTAAATTATATGGACACCCTTGACAGAACAGATAAAATACATGGAACACCAGAATGTGGAGGGGTGTACTACCTTCTTTCAAAGACATTGAGATGGAGTATTACAGCTTGATGTGGGAGACTTGTGTTTTCCCTCTAGTACAGATCAGTAAGCCTATGGTCACACATAAAGAATTATGAACTTCATCCTTACAACAAAACATGACCATCTCATCCAAGGTGAGATGCCTGTAAACTCTACTGTAAAACTAGGAAGTGACTTCTGTTGTTGCAGCTGGATACCTGGTCCACGTTTCCAAGAAACTAAATAGATTGTGGCAATTTTGACCTTGTTCTTCTTGAAATCCTAGTCACAATATATACTTAATGAAGCGTACACCACCTAAGAAGCTAGTACCTCTGGCTAACATAACTATCTGCCAGGAAGTTGTCTTACCAGAATTTGTTTCAGGACCTTACATCTTCCTGCAGAGTTAGTCTCTTGAGCCTTGACAGCAATAATTCAAATTTCTGTAATATTAGTACCTCTTAACAAATGAAAATATAAGAAATAATTTTCATCTGAAATAAATGACTAGACTTTGGTAATTTCGTTCCTCTTCAAAGATTTGCAAATTCAGTTGATTTTTCTTCAGTGCTTCTGAAGTTTATAGCAGGTAAAACTACCTAAATGTTAAAGACAGACCCCTTAAAAATAGGGTGATCATTTTTCTTCAGTGTGCCATATGCACTCCAGACTTAGACCTGTTGCTGTCTAATAACTAATGACTCCTCAGTGAACTGCACCACTTGAGATAAGGGGTTTAGGTCAACTGTTAAAACTGTCAACATGAATAGAAACACTAGCGACTGAATGAGTATTGTAATCTACTCTTACATACAGGTCACCAGGTCAGAAATGACATACAACTTGCATTGAGAAGCTTCTGCTGATTATTTATTTCTTCTCTTATTTTATCATGGTGGCAGAAAAGTATGAAGACTTTTCATTACCTGTTTGGAGATGACAGGGAGAGAACTAAGTGCATAAAACAAAATGTCGCTTCTATGTGTATTTGTAAAAATCTCTGAATTAGTAAGACTTGCCAGCGTCCTTGAATACAGACATTCTTCATGGGACTTCACCACCACCAGTAAAAATGTATTTATGGCATCCTTGTACAGGAAGAAGATGAAACCGATTCAGGTACCATGGTGAGGGCGAGCGGAGATGAAACTGGTACCATAAGAGCAGTCAACACGATGAGTGATGGAGCCAACACAATGATAGAACATGATGGCACCTTGGAATCACAGCTGGGTACAATGGTCATAAACACCGAAGAGGAAGAGGAGGAGGGCACCATGAAAAGTAAGAAACATCTTTAACTTTTAGAAAGTTAATTAGGACCTAATGTGGGCTGTGATTTGTGTTCCCAACCTGCTTTGATATTTTTGGTAGCTTACTGTCATGCCTTGGTTGCAGGAAGCTAAAACTCTTAGGCCACTGCCCTCTGGCAGTAGAGAAGAGAGATCCTTTCTAGGTGCAAGTCTCAAGCCATTTTTTTTAGTCTTGCACTTGGTACAACTGATGAGTTGTGCACAATTTCCACAAGTTTCTGTGCTGATCAAATGGGATCTGATTCTGGCTAGTATGGGGGGTTTTGCTGGTTGGTTTTTGTCTGTTTTGTCTTTTTCACAGAATGTAGAGGAGGGAGATGCTAGGAAAGGATTAATCCAAAATTTTTTGATGCTTTAGGACGTGATCTGGCTGTAACCTGGCATCTTGAAACAGCAAGTCTGTTTCAGAACTGATGCATCAAATAAAAGGTTACATTTATGAAGTTACAAATATCCTGCACCTTTCAAGCACAGCAAGGCACATGGTGGCAGGAGCTAGCATCTCTCCAGACTTGTCTGTTTCTTTAATGTTACTTTAATCAGTGAAGACAACTGAATAAATGGTGTGTTGTGTTCTGACACATTCAAGCTGAAATCCGTTCTGCCGTAAAATAGAAAAGCTTACTAAAACTACAAGCCTTGTCATAGGATGTAAGATTTAAAATTATATGGCTTTGATCCCTGATAGTCTGTTGGAGACCTCACAGCTTGAGCTGGAAAAGGGTTAAAAATCTTTCTTTGATTAAATAGATGGCAAGGAGACCCTCCTTGGAAAAGTATGACTAGAAGAAAAAGAATCCTCTCAGTTATGGGTTCTCATAGAAATCTGTTTCTGCTGCTTGGGTAGTCTCAACAGTATCGAGGCAGAGGTGGTCACAGATGACTCTGCTGGCCAGCATGGGTGTTTGCTCAAGGACAGAGCAAAGTGCTGACTGGGGCTCAGCAGTAGTGAAACATGACCATCATAGGCAAGGCTCGTTCTCTTGGCTCTTGCAGTGCTTCCAAAGACTTCCTTGGCCATCTGACTTTGAGCCTTTATCTGATGTGTGAGAGAAAAAAATTCTCAATAGGAGTTTGGAAAAAATCCTTTTCTTAGGAATTTCTGTGTTGAAAGCTTCCTCCATGTGGGGGCTCTCTTGTGGAAAGATACTGTTTTCAGGAGTGAAATTTCAGCAGAACCCATTGGGCAAACACTGCTTCAGCATGTTAAAAACCAGAGATGTCAGCCTATGTAGCAGCTTGTGGCAACAAAGACGGTGGAGTAATGCCATTGGGTTTTGTGGAAGAAGGTAGCTTTAGCAAGGAGACGGATGCTTAGAGTAGCTAAAAGGTCACCCAAATAGCGGGACATGTTAACAGCCTTAAATAAGTCAAGCGAAGTTGCAGTTTCTTTACAAACAGACCACACGTAATTTCTCGTCACTAGTGTGTACTCTTCCATTTCATGATTCACGATCACAGAGGCTTTACTGTCTGTGGTGATCCTACAGTAGCTACCAAAGGTGCGTAAGTACCTCTTCAGTTTATCTTCCCATGTTTAACGTGTGCTTATCTTCTCACCATCTTTTTAACATTGCAGCACTTGTAACTCAAAAGCATCTAATGCTCTCTACGAAGCAGTGTACAGAGGTTTGAGGAGATGCCTTTGGTAATATCTCTTTTGCAGGGACATACTTTCTTTTTCAGTAGAATCAGTTATGAGGATATTGCAATGTCTTTAATACAGTGTAGTATCTAACCTCAAGAGGGAGCTCCAGAACAAGCTCTAACAGCTTCAGAGCTCTGTGACTCTTAGAAAGTCGAGTTTTTCTTTTAAACTCCTCTTAGACTTCAGACTTTTTAAAAAGACTCTGTTCTTCAGCTGCTGCTGTGTAAGTGTGTTCAAAGCTGAGTATGTGGCAGAAGTCCTTGAGCAGCTCTGCCTTCTGGAGGGAGCATTTTGAGGTCCTGGGTGCACTGGTACCGCTTTCATGTCGATGGATTTCACACAGAGGTATCTCGTGAAACCCAGCTGCACTTGGTGCTCTCTCAGCTGCAGGTTGTGCTGCATTTTAATAACTTGTACCTTGATTCCAAGGTGCAAATCTGATGCTAATGAAAATGATTGCTCCAGACGAAAACTTAACTTTTCCTTAACACCTTATTCTCCTCCTTCCCCAGCAGCATAATGCTGAAATTCTTGCTTCCGCACAGAGCAGTTCTGTGTTTGTTTCTCAGATGCGCTGCAAGGCAGTGTCTTTGAGCAGCTTGCCCTTTATGTGAATTGCCTATAGCTCCATTTTTCAGTTTGCCATTTCCATATTCATGTTCTCTTAACATTCAGATAAATTGATTTAACTGTAAAGCTCATCAGCCTGCTGCAGAACTCTCTGGAGCAAGTTCTTTTTGTAATCTTAAATATAAGTGTAATAATGCTGTTTGGAAACCACTGAGTTTGAAGAGGCTTCATTGATTCATATTTTTTAAAGTCGTCTGTTTTTCGCTTGGCAGCTTGTGCTATGACTCACAATAAAACCTGTTTTAAGTCAATAAAAAAAGATCTGATTTTTCTTGCATGTCATTAGTAGGGGAATTTAGCTTTCCTAGGTGTCTGGGGCTTTTTAACTGCAGGCTTCTGATCTTGTGTTCTAGCCCGTCCTCTTAATCTAAAAAAAAAAAATCTGTGTCTCCACCATTTGTTTGTTTGGTTTTGTTTCTTTTTAATGTAGAAAGTGTTAATAGAACATTGAAATATGATGCTTTAGACAGGATTGTCTTAGAAATCTCTAGCAAAAAACTTCCAATAGCCTTGAAAGTGATTCTTGCATAAATCAATTCATGACTTTTCATGCTCAAGGGAAAAGCATTTTTAGATTCTACTGTTTTATGTTGTAGGGGAAGTTTTGTTTTGTAGCCAGTTGAGCTGTAATTCTGTTTGCTTAAATGCTTTCATTTGCTTGGATTTTTTTCTGGGCACTCAATATAAATATTCAGGTAGCATTAAAAATGTCACTATGACATTCTGTTACGCATTTTGAAAGCACTCAAGTGATTGCCTGAAACTGCAGATAGTAAATTGCACTGCGACACATTTTACTTATAAATCGATTGCTAACAGATTACTTATGGATTGCAGTTAAACTATTCCAGGAAAACTTTGGAAGTAGCTGAAGAACTATAGATGAACAATCATTTGTAATAACAGATGTTTCCATTGTGCTTGAGAGTTGGAATAACTTTTGAACTGTGAATATGTCTGAAATAATTTTTTTTTTTTTTTCTGTGAGGGAATATATAGTGCTAGTAAATAGCACAGCATTTTTTACTCTTTTTTTCTTTTTTTTTTTTTTTCTTTTTCTGCTTTATTTGCTGCAGGTTTTTAGGCAGTAGGAACTTGGCATGAGTTTCTCCTCAATTTAGAGTGGAACATAATTTTATAATAAAGCAGATAAACATATTGCCTCCTTGGAGTCTGCAATACGATCTGATCCAAGTGAAATAGGATCTAGTTTGTCCGGTACTATAATCTGTTCTATATTCTATGTTGAACTGCCTCTTGCTTGTTTAAGCACCAAATAAAATGACACTGGAGAATGTAGAACTGCCAACAGTGGTGTGAGTGGGGCTGTCTGGTTTGTGGGTTGAGGTGAACGAGGAATTTGGAGAGGGTGGGAGATTTGTGGGTGTGGGGTTTTGTTAACGTGCGTGCATTCACTAGAGCCTCTGGTGCTGAGGTAGACCAGAAGTCTAATAACACTGTTGCCTCTCTACCTTGATAACGTAATGTGCAGGTAAAAATTCTTAATAGTTTGTGAATGTTTAAAATAAAAAATTCTAGGCTTAATTCTGTAAGAATTAAGTTAGGGGTGGTTTGGGTTTTGTTATGCTTTTAACATGCCTGTGCAGTTAAGCATGGTTGTGTCCTTTTAAAAAGATATTTCCCCTTTTGAGGGGAGATTGCATCTTAGCTCATTTAATTTGCTAATGAAACCCAAACTTGGCAACTTCCTATTAGAAAAATGATTCAGAGTAAGCTTGTTCATCTTGGTGGCTTTGCGAGACATCCAGTGGGTGGCACTTAAACCTAAACCAGAGACGTGTTACTGCCAAGAGCCAGGAAACTTTTTGTCTCCACTAATTAACCTGTAATTTTTCACATAATGCAATGACTATAAAAGCTGTAATGTGAGTAGCAGAATGAATATGGATGGCAGAAGGTTTATGTGATTGCATTAATATCATAAATGAACAAACTATGACTGGTATGTAGCTGAGGTAGCTATAGGTGGTGTAGTATCAGTAGTCGTCCAAAAATGTGCAGATGTGTGTTATCCAAATAAGCTGATGCGGGTACTGTAGAGAATAGCTCCGCATTTTGTCAGGATTTACATCATGTCTATGTCAAAAATACTGGCAGTGTTTTGCCTCTGTTTTTCTCCACAGACAATAGCTCTTTGTAGCAGCTTCCCACTACTTAATGCTATTATGTCCAGTGGTACAGTTCTGTGTTTAAAATAAATTGGTCCATTTAGGCATAATTGGACTATAAAACACTCTTAGTGTTATGCATTTAAATAACACACTGTTTATAGAAACACCTACATAAATAAATTCTTCTCGAACCGTAAGAAACATTGTACTGCCACTCTCGAGGTGTGGTGAATACAAGTCTTCACAGATGAGTCTTCTAGCTGTGTTACTTCTTGTCTTTTATCTTAATAACAGCCTGCTGGCAAATTTGACATAACAGCCAGCCCAGTGTAAGAATATCAAATTGTGTGGCCGTGCAGCCAGTATTTTTGAGCGATGGGAGGAGCTGCGTATGTATATGCTGTCATTTTGTTGTAGGGTTTTCGCTGTGGCTTTTGCTTTTTCTGCTTGTATAGTGGTAGGCGACTGGACTTCTGTGCAGTGTGTTAGCAATCGAAATAGTGGTTCTGTGCAGACTGAAGCATGAAGAAAAGTTAAGTCTGGGGTCTAAGTTGGATGCTT